AAGCCATGCAAAGCTTCAAGCTTCGGCAGGGATTCGCGCCGAAAAGTATTGTGGCCAGTCAGATTTGAATGTTTGTAAGCGGGACCGCTTATGATTGGTCGTTCATGCGCACAACCTGATAGGTTGGTTTAATGTACACATTCGCTGGATTATGGAGAAAGCAAGAGAGTACCAGAAAAACATCTACTTCTGCTTCATTGACTACGCTAAAGCCTTTGATTGTGTGGATCACAACAAACTATGGCAGGTCCTTAAAGAGATGGGAGTACCAGACAACCTCACATGTCTCCTGAGAAGCCTGTGTAAGGGTCAAGAAGCGACAGTTAGAACCGGATATGGAACAACTGATTGGTTTAGCATAGGAAAAGGAGTACGACAAGGATGTATATTGTCACCTTGCTTATTTAATTTATATGCAAAGTACATCATGCAAAATGCCGGTCTGGGTGAATCACAAACCGGAATTAAGATTGCCAGGAAAAACATCAACAACCTCAGATATGCAGACAATACCACTTTAATGTCAGAAAGTGAAGAGGACCTCAAGAGCCTCTTGCTAAGGATGAAAGAGGAGAACACAAAAGTTGGCTTGAAACTCATCATAAAAAAAACTAAGATCATAGCATCCGGTCCCATCAGTCCTTGGCAAATAGAAGGGAAGTCATGGAAGCAGTGACAGACTTCACGTTCCTGGGATCCAAGATCACTGCAGATGGTGACTGCAGCCATGAAATTAAAAGATGCCTGCTCCTTGGGAGGAAAGCTATGGCAAACCTAGACAGCATAATAAAAAGCAGAGACATCACCATGCCAACAAAAGTCTGTATGGTCAAAGCAATGGTATTCCCAGTAGTAATGTATGGCTGTGAGAGTTGGACCATAAGAACATAAGAGAAGCCAATGTTGGATCAGGCCAATGGCCCATCCAGTCCAACACTCGCGGCCAAAAATACCAGGTGCCATCAAGAGGTCCAGCAGTGGGGCCGGAACTACAAGTACATAAGGAAGGCCGAGCGCTGAAGAATAGATGTTTTCGAATTATGGTGCTGGAGAAGACTCTTAAGAGTCCCCTGGACTGCAAGGAGATCAAATCAGTCAATCCTAAAAGAAATCAACCCTGACTGTTCCCTGGAAGGCCAGATACTGAAACTGAAGCTCAAATACTTTGGCCACCAAATGAGAAGGGAGCACTCACTGGAGAAGACCCTGATGCTGGGAAAGATTGAAGGTCAAATAAGAAGGGGACAGCAAAGGATGAGATGGTTAGACAGAGTTATCGATGCAACGAACATAAAATTAAGCAAACTCCGGAGCACGACAGAAGACAGGAGGGCCTGGCGGGAGCTGGTCCACGGGGTCACGAAGAGTCGGACTCGACTGTGCGACTGAAGAACAACAAGCCACAACTATTTTCTGTTGGAAAGAACTTTGTGTACGCTAGGCACATGGATATCAGCCATACTGGGAAGACTACATTTCCTAAGTTTCCTGGGAAAGCACAAATAGAACACTAAAAACTAGCTAATTTTTTTCTAAAATAAGCTCATCATCTATCACAGTTCTCTCTGCAGAGATTCTCTGCAAGTGTTTTTTTGCCTCATGTAGCAAGGTTATTTTATGTCAACAGTTATCGGTTAAAAACCTGCTAAGTTCAAGGTCAAGTGCCGTCCTTCTATGCAAAACAAAACCGATCATTCCATCACTTGTAGTTCCTCATATACCACTGCTTCTGGATTACTGAAAGGAAAAGAAGGTACTTACCAATCTTTCCAAATGGATCATCTTTGAAAGGATCACCTGTTTTAAAAAAGTGAAAGACTATATGTGATATTTGAGTGGTTCTACATAGTCAAAGAATGGAGACCGGAAGTTGAGCAGGCTAATCCAAAAACCTTCCATAGCTTCTCTAGCGTTTGAGGGCCACTCCCCCTCGATGAATGGCTTTACCCCCTTTCCTCTAGCTGAAGAAAGGATGCTTACATGCCTTAGCTCATTCACTTAGCCACTATGGAAGGATATATTACCCTATGTATATATATGTATCAATTGAATTTATCAGACAAAGGATGGAAGTTGCGCTACAGGACAATACAGCTCAAGTTAAACCTTGGAGGGGGGTTTTCATTACTTTTGTGCAGACCCAAAATGGGTTATCAACAGGATGATTTATTGAAGATGAGACTAGCTTCCTTATGAGGAGATTGATTAAAGAAACTACTCTTCCAACAGCTACTTTTCTGTCATCGATACCTATAAAGTAATGCTTGATAAAAGATTACACTGTGGAACGTGGTACTGCTTTACAGATGTCCTCTACTGCAACACTTCTCAACACTTTTGGAGCATACACCTTCCATTTTCACAGTATTTGACCCTAGGCTACAACAAATTCTAGTAGACTACACAATCCATCCAGAAAGAGTTTGTGCAGAAGCTCTTTCTTCTTTGTTCTTTCCCCAGAACACAGAAAATGACCAAGGTGCACTCTGAGAGTTTGTGTCTGTTGTAAACGTTTTAAAAAATCTTTCAACATCTACTGAATGATACGAATGCTCCCTTCTTATCCTGAGCATTTAGAAAATGAACAGCTTTAGGTAAAAATTCTGTTTGAACAACTTTACCCCATGACATTTATAAAGGGTCACTGTAAAGAAAGTTTATCTACCTTACAAGTTACAAAAATAGTAAATACACTCATGACAATAAGGAGGTCCAGAGGATGCATAGCCATGTTTAAATGGTTTTATCATCAGTCAAGTCAGAACTAAAAGGTACATTCCACTGCAGATAAAAATTGCTTTACTGGATATAATAGGAGATCATGTACCAAGTACAAACAGTAATATGGTTCAGGATTTAATGACAGCACCCAAATTAGAAACAGCAAAAACCTGGAAACATACTATAAACAATGTTAGACTGTGGATGAAAAAGTATGTTATTTGCTGACATCTAGATTAACAAAGCTTATACGCTTAAGAGATAGATGGCAGCAAAAGCCACTGTTTTGCAAGTGTTAGCAATCTTTTTTAAGTTACTAGAAAGGCACTTTTTATTATAAACATTTTATTAAAGTTTTTAAGGAAACAATACATATCGGTACAAGTTAGAAAACAATTAAACAGGAATATCCAAAAAAAACTTTTTACAACTGTTAATACAGAACCATAATACCAATACAATAATAAGTAGTATGTGCATAATCTATAAACTTTGTCTTATACTGTGAGGTAACTAGAAAGGCACTTGATTTAACCACTAATTTGTATAATTGGTCTTCCTTGTAAGTATTTCATGTTTATATGTGAATTTTTAAAAATGGTATGATAATATCATAAGTGATAACAGATGTAGAATATATTATGATGGTTTATAGTTCTCATCTTACTGAGTTATGTCAAAACATATCTTTGTTTTTTGTTTGCTTCTCTCACTGAAGAACTGTAAACTAGATATATCTTTTTCTATGTGACTGCATTTAAGAAACTGGAAATTTGTACGATATATATCAAAAACAATTTTAAAAAATTCAGTAAACCTCTGGTAACATATTTAGATTCCAGGTAAGCCAGCATATATTCCTTTGACCAGGAATATGAAATGTTGCAGTCACAACTAAATTAATTCTCAGTGAACACACTGACAAAATACATTCACTTATATCAAGCAATAAAAAAACATGACTCCAAACCAAAAAAGAAAATGTATTAAGACGTTGAAGAATGAACAAGGAGTTGAAAAGAGCGGCTTAGAAGATTTAAAAGAAATTGCTAAAAGGTTTTATGCCAACTTATATAGTAGACAAACGGTCAAATTAGATATAATCAAGAATTATCTAAGCAATAATCCAAATATTAAAAAGCTCTAACGTGGCGCGGTTCCTGGCTAAGGTTGCCGCTCTCAAGAAACACTGAAAGTTTTATCATCTTTGCAAACACCTACACCGATTTTTAATCTTTGGAGGATTTTAGTTAGTTGGCTCCACCCCAAGTGTAGTTAGGTCTTGTTTATTCTCTGGGCTATGCCTGGGTTTTATATGTTTACTGATTGTGACTATGTACTTGTCATATTTTATGTCAATTTTATGTACCTATTTTACCCCTTTTGCATTAACTTTCGGTCAAGACTTTGGTCATATAGACCTGTAATAAATTGATATTAAAAAGCTAAATGAACAACAAAAAAAGATTTTAAATCAGGCTATCACCATAGCGGAAGTTTCCCAAGCGATTAAAAAGCAAAAGAAAAATAAATCCCCTGGACCGGACGGTCTTCCTTCTGAGTTTTATTCAGCATTTGAAGATGAAATTAGCTTAATATTTAAAATGATTGTTTCAGAGGGAAAAACAGTACCGGATTTGTGGAACTCAGCTTTGATCTCCTTGATTCATAAGAAAGATTCTGATGAAAAAGAGATACGGAATTATCAACCTATTTCGCTCTTGAACGCTGATTATAAGATTCTATTATTGCTTACCGAATGAGACAGGTGCTTACTCAATTGATACACTCAGATCAGGTGGGATTTTTACCCAGTAGACAAATAAATGTAAGAATAATAATGAATGTCTTGGAGTATGGTGAAGCGAACGCAGACAAACAGCTGGCTATAGTATTTCTAGACGCCGAAAAGGCGTTCGACAACATAAACTGGGATTATATGATTTAAAATTTAAAAGCGATGGACTGTGGAGAATATTTTATGAATAGAATAGAAGGAATTTATAAAAAACAAGAGGCCAGAATAGTGATAAATGCAGATATGACTGAAAAAATAGATATATGTAAAGGTACTCGCCAAGGTTGCCCCCTTTAACCCCTATTATTTATTTTAACTATTGAAGGACTCTGTGAGACCATAAGAAACAACAGTAATATCAAAGGGGTTAAAGTAAAACGGCAGGAATATAAAATTCAGGCCTACGCTGATGATTTAGCAATTGTATTATTAGATCCAATAGATTCTATGGTACCTTTATTAGAGACTTTAGGCAATTTCGGTCAGCTAGCAGGCTTTAGAGTTAATACTGAAAAAACTAAAGTGTTGACAAAAAATTGTAATGACAATATAAACCAAAGACTAAAGGAAATCTCAAAGTTTGAAGTGAAAAAGAAAATAAAGTATTTGGGAATATACATAACAAATAGAACTAGTACTTTAGTTCAAGATAACTATGAACAATCATTAGTTTCGGGTAAAAAAGATTTTGACAAATGGTCAGCCTTACAACTTTCTCTTATGGGTAGGGTAGCTGTGATCAAAATGACTTTTCTTCCCAAAGTGCTATTTCTCTTCCAAACTATCCCAGAACTTAAAAATGTCGCTTACTTTAGGAAGCTAGATAAACTAGTACGTGATTTCATCTGGCAAAAGAAAAGGCCGAGGATAAAATTAAAATTTTTACAGAAAAAAACCCCAAAGAGGTGGGCTGGCATTACCTAATTGGCGGCTTTATTACCAAGCAGCGGTACTTACTTGGTTAAGAGAGTGGATTCTCCTCAAAAATGCCAGGATTCTAAATCTGGAAGGTTTTAACTTAATGGTAGGCTGGCACGCCTTTCTATGGGATAGGAAACATGAGTCACATTCGTATTTCAGGCAACATTTGATTAGAGCTAGTCTACTAAAAGTATGGAATGAGATTAAAACTTTATTTTACAATAAGACACCAAGATGGCTAGCCCCTCTTGAGGCTATTACTTTGCCTAACTTGATGTCAAACGTACGGGCTGTGAGCTATGATGTCTTTTTAAACAGGAATAACATGCTTAAATCGCAGGAAGCATTACAGGCTCAACAAATTCATTTATCCTGGTGGGAATGGAATCAGCTAAGTTCTAAGTACATGAAAGATAAACAGATACGCTTCTTTTCAGAGATGTCGGATTTAGATAAAATTCTTCTGGGAGAAGATACTAAGTTGATTGGTAAAATTTATTCTTTTTTGTTAAGCCACAAGATGCAGGAGAGGTATATAAAACAGCTATGGGGCCATGGATACGAAATATTGGGCAAGACATTGAATTAATTAAGTGGGAAAAGATTTGGAAAAATATAAGATGGTTGAAAGCTGTGCCGTTAAAAGAAAATGTTTTCAAAATGGTGCATCGATGGCATATGGCGCCGGATAGATTAGTTCGTATCTATCCATGACTAAATGCTAAATGTTGGAAATGCAAGGGTCAGGTGGGCTCTTACTATCATGTCTGATGGACGTGTAATGAAGTAAAACAGTACTGGAAGGAGATTCAAATGATGCTAGTACAAATAACCAGCATACAAATCCCGTTGGATCCAGAAATATTGCTTCTGAGCATATTCCCGGACAAGTGGAACAAAGATGAGAGCTATGTAATATTACATCTAGTAACGGCAGCAAGAATAGTGCTTGCAAAATTTTGGAAAAATGAACAGGTACCTAACAGATGGGATTTTATTAGTAAAGTAATGGAAATGGTTGAAATGGATAATTTAATGCAAAAGATGCATGGAAATATGAATTCAACATTTCAGAGAGTCTGGTCACAGGTTTATAAATGGTTGGACGATAGGATAAGTCCATACCTCGGGAGGTAAAACTTGCTGCGACCAGGGTTAGATCCTTCTCAGTGGCGGCCCCTACCTGGTGGAACGAGCTCCCGGAAGAGATCAGGGCCCTGCGAGACCTTATGGAGTTCCGCAGGGCCTGCAAGACGGAGCTCTTCCACCAGGCTTTTATATAGGGGCCGCCACTGCCGCTGTCACCACCACCAGTAGTGGCAATACCATCGGGACCTGGGATCGCCCTGGGACGTAC